GAATCACCTCCCACTTTTCGTCAATATTAAATCTGCTGCTAATTTTTTATAGATTTGAAGTTTATCTCAATTCTACATTTATCAATTTATCTCGTATCGATTGATTCGAACGATAAAAAATTCTCAAAGTCGCTGACTTTTTTCTCGAAATTTTTCTGTAAATTGCAATGCTCGGTAATTCCAAGCTTTTGGCCCGTAGTGTATAAGATTCTCAGCGCAATATTGGCCTAACTTCAAAAAGTTCGTTCTGACATTATATCAAACAAAATTAGTAAAATTCTAAAATACTTTTTAAAGTATTCAGTACGATTTTTCAAAAAGTACCTACTTTTTTGGAAAGTTACTTAACTCTTTCGTGACCAAAAGAACGCATACATCCTACTTGAGTACTCAAACAAGTATTGACTCTCCACACACGCGATGATCATTAGATAAATCACAATATTCTCCAAAAAGACAATTCTTCGGTCACAAGAAGGTTAGAGGCCACTATAAAATTAACTATTTGCGGTCAAACCCCGGGATATTCGGCGTTTTTATCTTCTAAACGCTCTGTGCCCCTTTGCTTGCAGAAACATCAACAATCGCATTCCAATAAAATTGACACGTTTTTTCGACAATAATTGACCGACAAATAATTCCTACCAGGACGACTACAATACCTACGGAAAATACGACCGCAAAGAGTTAACCCTTTGCAATCGAGTGGCGACTGAGAAGCGACACTGAACAATTGTCACTTGACAAATCGTTAATCGTGACAGAAAGATGTATGGATCTCCATAAATTTGAGAGTTTTGAGACTTTCACGGCCCGGATCGATATGAGTGAACACCCAGACGCATACTATTATCAGTACGTCTCCAGACAATGATGAAGTTAGCTGCAATGCTGGCGAAACGTCGGAACGTAAATTCTTTTAGACACGACTTACATCCGGAAGCCCCAAATAATACCTCTCCATAAATTTGTTCGCCATAGTGAAATAGAAAATACATCGACCATTGAAATAAAATAAGACAGTTCATTTCTAGGTTAATTTAAAAAAATTTCAAAGAACATCCGATTCGCGACCTTTCTTACAGCAAAAAGACATCCGAGTGCAAAGGATTAAAGTTTCTCCGCGCACAAACTTAAAATGATTCCGACTAGACTTTCAGTTAGGCTGATATTAGGTCCGCATTAGACTAGCCTAATTTGCCTGTTAGGCCCCCATGCGATATGTAACGCGAAATATTCGCGACTACTTAATTCGGAAAGCCGCGTTGGGGCCGCATTAGGCTTTCCCAATGACTATCCCATATTAGAATAGTTTTATTAGGTTGTCATTGGGAGACATTAATGAAATCTCACGAGCAATAAGTCATCAAGACACTGTATGGATTAAATTGTAAAAACTCTCTTATGGCGACCTCTACACGCAAGCGTACGTCCGTCACTGAGACGTCTGCAAATATTCCTACATATAAGTTTCAGAGCCATCCCCATTTGGGCCACGTATGGCAACTATTAGGAATGCCCAACTTAGGCGTGCGCTCGGCCACCCCCATTTGGGCTTCGTATGGCAACTGTTAGGAATCCCTAACTTAGGTGTGCGCTCAGCCAACCTCATTTGTGCCTCGTATGGCAACTATTAGGAATGCCCAACTTAGGCGTGCGCTCGGCCACCCCCGTTTGGGCCTCGTAAGGCAACTGCTAGGAATGCCCAACCTAAGCGTGCGCTCGGCCACCCCATTTGGGCCTCGTATGGCAACTATTAAGAATGCCCAACTTAGGCGTGCGCTCGGCCACCCCATTTGGGCCACGTATGGTAACTATTAAGAATGCCTAATTTAGACGTGCGCTCGGCCACCCCCTTTGGGCCACGTATGGCAAATATTAGGAATGCCCAACCTAAGCGTGCGCTCGGCCACCCCATTTGGGCCTCGTATGGCAACTGTTAGGAATGCCCAACCTAAGCGTGGAGCTCGGCCACCCCCATTTGGGTCACGTATGGCAAATATTAGGAATCTCTAACTTAGGTGTGCGCTCAGCCAACCTCATTTGTGCCTCGTATGGCAACTATTAGGAATGCCCAACTTAGGCGTGCGCTCGGCCACCCCATTTGGGCCTCGTATGGCAACTATTAGGAATATTCAACTTAGGCCTGCGCTCGGCCACCCAAATTTGGGCCTCGTATGGCAACTATTAGGAATGCCCAACTTAGGCGTACGCTCAGCCACCCCCATTTGGGCTTCGTATGGCAACTGTAAGGTATGCCCAACTTAGGCATGCATCATTCCTTCCGAATTAGGACTTAATGCGGTAACGATTAGGCTTGCAGCATTTAGGTATGCATAATCGTATCCGCATTAGGCCCACATTCGTCTTTAGGCATGCCTAACTGAAATTCTAGCCGGGATAGTCTAAACCCGAAAATTGCGAGTTAGGCCACTATTCCCCCGACAATCTCGCGTAATCCATATCATAGCTGCAATATTACTCACGAATAACACCACGTTGTATATATGCAGGACATATTTCACGAAGTTGACGGAGCAACAGCCGTCGTCCCTGGTCCTGATCCTGGTCGACGTGCCAGGTAGCCTCTCAGCGCTTTTAGCCATGATCGGTCGATTCGTTTCTTCGTCTAGTGTCTCCGTAGTGCTCGTGGTCGTCGTCGTCACTTCGTCACTGGCTCTGAAAGAAGCACGCGGGATCATTCGATCAGATTAGAGATTTTTACAGCCGGTCTCGTTCTCCAGAGGGGACAGGAACGAAACGAGGTTAGGATCGAATTCGATCTCGGCCGAATGAAATTGCATTTCTTCCACCCTCGCCTATCTAAGAGTGATTCTTCGCGTTTCGAATACGTTTCTGCACGTATGCGTCTCTGTCTGTGTACTCGAATCCTGAGTAAATCTATCTTTCGAGCGTCCTTTCTCTGGCGAACGGCCAACGGGCACCACGCGTCGCTGCACTTCCGGTGAACCGGCCATTGCTACCGAAATCTGATAGATACTCTCCCTTCTTACGATTTGACTAAAATGGATTCATAGTTCGTCCATCATGTTTCTACCGTATCGTTCGGGGAATGTAGATTTCGATTTTTCTGTTACACTAACTCGTGAATTCTGAAGTGTCGACTTTTTTTACAAAGATCACGCGAGTTTTGGGTTATTGGTCGCTTTGTTTTGACAGGTCGAAGGACCAATCGTGTTTCTGGATTTTTGACTCTCTGAATTTAGTAGGGAAGATAATCGGAGTTGAATGTAACATGTTTTTTTCTCTTCTGGTCTATTTGGTAGATTATGGCTTTGGACGTGAATTAGAGATACACGTGTGACGTGTATGAGGATATTAAGTGGTTAGGACACGGTAACAAGTGGGTAAAATATAAGATTTTTAAACGACAGTACAGCAAAAAGTGAATAATCGATTAATATAAAATTTTCTATTTCAATTTACTGTATACTATGAACTATAAAAAAATGCTTGTAATATTTAAAAAATAATTTGTTCTTAAGCCTTTCGTCGTCTTCGCTCGGAATATCTTTTCTTCCAGATGGCCAACTGGTGTACAAGATTCCTACTAATCGAATGAACTATATCCAGAATCCCAAAAATGTCGCGAACTGTAATATATTTTCTAGGCATTGACGATCCCACATTTCAATTTTTGTGAAAATTAACAAAATACCAGATATTTTAAATTTAACGACTGAATTTCGGTAAAAAGTTTCTTACTTTTTTCTTTCTATTTCACAAAATAATGGGAAAATGTAAAAAAAAAGTCGATCGTCAATGCCTCATAGATATTACAATAAAGATAACTGTAAAATTTTCATGTAATTGCTAAGGTAGAACTGCGTTTTGAAAAATGCATCGGTGCGTCACGGCACGCAGGTATACGAATTCACCCTCGAAACGGTACTTGAAGAAATAATTTGTATCAAAGACCTTTTGCATTCTTTTCTCAAGACTTGAAACTACTATTTAAGACAAAAAAAAATTTCGATTTTTCCAAAATATTACTGTGCCCTAACCCCTTAACCCTATACTTTCGAGACACCGTTTTTGGGGACGTAAAGCCCGATACGGAGTCTACGAAACTCCTCAACTTCCAGTTAGTTTACAAATACAGGACATTTCTGACAACTTTTCTTACCGATTTACCTTTATTACACATTTTCCTAATGAACATTGCAGAATAGAGTGGTTGGTTGTATTAATTTCATTTAAATACAATAACGTTCAGTTCTAAATAGAATGGAAGAAAGCAAAAAAGATTCAGTCTCTGAGACTCCGCTTCTACAGTAAAGGGTTAAAAATCTGTGTTCTTAACACGTTGACTGGTGGTCACCTGTGACCGAAGACTGTTTCCTCGATGGGGCCACGGTGGTCATCGATAATAATTAAAATAAGATAAATATCGTCGAATAAAAATTTCGAACATCGTAGTTAACTAGAAATTATTTTCAATTAAAAAAATGAAGCACAATACAGTAGGGTAAAGTTGCCTAATACGAGACCCATTTTTTAAAGAAGTCACAACTGTCGACTAAGAACACTTTTATTAAAATTCGATACGTGTTTTAAAAGTACGATATGTATTCTTTCGTAAGGTGCTGGAATGTACAGTTCGTGATAAAATAAAAAGGAAAATTATACAAATATGTATTTTTTCACACATTCGGCATATTAAATCTGTTTCTTCGGCACTTTGTGCACTAAAAGAAAATTGGGTACCTAATATGAGACTCTTCTTATAATAGGAACTTCCGAGCAGCTTCGTTATTTAACGATACGCAACTGGTAAGCCTTAAACTCCATTGCATGCACTGTGCAACAGTATTTATGAAAATGATTAGAAACTCGCTATCTTCGAGGTATTTGCAATTTAATCGAACCACTTGAAAAACTTTCATTTCAATCAAATTTCATATTGTAGGCAAAATTTAGGGTTTGGGGCGGCCCACGTGGTCGTCAGCCGCGCCGATCGGGACGGTGGCCAGGTTTATGGTGGCGATGTGACCGTGGGTAAGACGTGCCATAAATCTGGTCACCAGAAGTAAAGGACGGAAAGCGACGTTCCCGGGCGAAACGGTTTTTCCGCCAAAAATCGCGGTAGAAGGGGAACGTCGTAGGGGTACGTTCGAGAACAGTCCTAATTGGCGGAGAGAAGAAACGCCCTCGTCAAGGGAAGGTTTAAAACGGATAGCTTGTGGAAAAATAGTGTGTGTGTGGGAAACGAACTTTGCGTGAGAAAAGTATATTGAAGGAGCGTTGTTGAAAATAGGACTCGTGTCCGTGTAGAATACATTATTAGTTATTTATTAGAATTAAAACTGTCTCGTCTCTCGCCTTTAACATCTGATTCCGCCAAACCTCTCTCCATCCCAGACTCGCCTACAATATTTAATTTGATAATTAACGCGGTTAATTACGAAGCAAAACAGCATCGCTACGACATTCGAGAGTTCTGTAACGGAGATATACGGGGGTCTCGTAACAGTCTCACATTAGGCTACTTTACCCTACTATGCTTAGAGTAATGAAAATCGTCTTCTGGCCCCCTGAGCAAAACATGCAAATCTGGCGTGGCAGTCAATGTGTTAATACAGGTGTACAGATGTATCGACGCATTTTAATTGTTGCAATTTTTAGTACACAACCGTGTATTTCAATTCGTGTAATTTTTAACACAATACGCGGATACCCGAGCAATTTGCGGAAACGAAATATCGCGTTAGAATTTACCAGACTGCAGATAACAGTAACAAACGTCGGTATACACTAGGACAAAAGGATGCGAATAATTTCTGTAATTTGAAGTCGTTCCGATGGACTGCTCGTTCCGGCGTGAAAGGAATAAAAAGGAAGGTGAATCACGTTGAACAAAGAGGTGCGAATAATGGATCGTTAACGATGAAGCACAGTGGCCAAATCGAAGGAAACGAAGGAGTAGTACAAAGAGGGATAGGATCAACTGGATATGAAGGAACCGGAAGCGACTGTTCAGTGGTCAAAGGAAAAGCAACCTGACTTGGCACGAGACCATTGCCGATATCGTTCCACCTCGCTAAGGAATTCCACGTTCGATCTACCCTTTTGCCTCACTTCTATCCATTTTGTGCCTCGATATCCTCTCTCCCTCGTTCTAATCGCGTGCACGAAATCGTTCGCTGTCTTCGTGACTGCTCGATCCATTTTTAGTCATCGGCGGAGATTTCGTGGTGAAACTTCTTTCGTGTATACCTTAGATCAGCCGTTCCTTTCATCTTCAGATTATAGTAGATTGAGGGGAACAATAGGAAACCGGTACGAAAATAGAAGAAAGCGAAAAGGCAACGTTGGCTGTGATGGTTAATTTACTTACAATGGTGAATTGGTCGTCAATGCGCCATCGCTGAATGAAAATCCGAGCCATGAGCTTGCATTCACCACTTCTCGCCTTAGATTGCTGCTTCGATATTTTTTTTTTACAGAAATAAACTTTTTCCAACCCTTTCGCTACGGTAGATTTTTAAAGACCGGTAAATTTTCAAGAACGACTGCAAAATTTGTTATTTTGGCCGCTTCGATTTAAAATTCGGTTTATTGAATTAACATGGAAGCGCGTGAAGGATGAAAGCAAGTATTAAATTAAGGTGAAAGGCTCGAAATTTTCAAAACGCCTACAGAACGTCAATAGTAATGAAGGGGTTGACAAATGATACGCTGTCGTGGAAAGACACTCACGTGTTTAAAACGACTGACAGATTTTCAAACGAATACATTTTGTCTCGATATCCGAGGGCTGCATATCGAGCGTACACATACGCCCATAGCATACGAAGAGCGCTTCGCGGCGAGCGTACACATACGCCCGTACTGTACGAAGCGCGCTTCGCAGCGAGCGTATGCAGAGTGTACCACTTAACTTTATCACTTGAAATATTTCCGTTGTGATTGAAATTTCGTGGAAATGTTTCCTAGAAAAGTTGCACAGTTTTGAAGGCTCGGTACGTAGTAACGATAGCTTTATTCCGTTGCGAAGGGTTAACCCTTGTGTGGACAACCGGGTGCCCATTTCTATATTTTCTTCCGAAATTTTTAACGTTCTTGACACAATATCGCAAAACGGTTCCAGATCCACGTTCTTTGGACACTTTTATATCGATTAACGTTTCGTGAAAAAAATTCATATAAAATATTTTAAATAATTGTTGAGGAGTGTGATTTCTCATGGTGTCATCTATTGATGGTACCAGCGGGACATCGTCAATTGTTTTCTGGCGCGTCGCGTGGCACAAAGAAGGCACGCGGTCGGAGAGTGCGTCTCGGCTTTTCACGGTTCCGAGAAAAACGCGTTTAAAGTTTTCGGTGCAATTTACATTCTCCCTTGATGTGTCACACTAAACGAGCTATAACTTCGTTATTTCATTGAATGCAACTATAAAACTTCAGGAGTACATTCTTAAAGAGTTGTACTTTCGATATATGCAAAAGAATAAAAATCGATTTTTTTCAAACCGTCACACTAGAAGCCCCTTTAACACGTTAAACGCTCAGCCTGTTTTGCTTACCGTTCCGTTCAGGCCACACTTGGCCGTCAAGTGGGGCCATGCGAACTGTAAACAGAAGACGACTAACGAAAAGTATACTGTCCGTCACCGGTGACTGACGCGGCCTGAAGGAAGGCATAGTGTCAGTCGCCG